ATGGCGCCTTGCCTCACCAACCTACATAAAACCTTCATGTAGCTTAAAATAGTCAGCGGTCACATGGACTAAGTTGTATATAGTAGTCCTGAAAATCAAAAAGATTGCAAAAACTAATCAAAACTTTCAAATTTCAACGGATATATGTGAAATTCACTATGATCATTTTCATCAAATGGATCCAATAGTCAATATTTCCTTGACCAGCTAGTACAAATCATTTGATTTCTTTTTGCTCCCATCCTGACACTAAATTAAGTTTACAGGTCTTTGGTAGTTCTCTATGATATCAAGTCTTGCGGTTACTGCTACAATAATGTCTTTCGAGCAAACTTTGCACCGACAACGTTGAAGCTCATTTTTGGCCAGTTAGATGGCAGAACTTCCCCCTTGGTCTTCAGCAAATTTATTCAACCTCATTCAAAGTACGAAAACATAGTGTTTTTCATCTCCCTCCGAAAGGATAAGAATTCATTAGAACGTATCCAGAGGCGAGCCACGAAATCAGTTCGAGAACTCAATATCAAGCCTTATGAAGAGCCCTCGAGTCACTAAACCTTTACTCGTTAGACTTCAGGTGTATTAGAAGTGACCTTTTAACAACTTACAGCATCTTAAACACTCATAAACATCCCCTAAAATACCCACTTAATCTCAGTCCCAACACAAACCCTAAGGGTAGCACTTTAATGTCGAAGACAGAACGTAGAAGAACGGACTCTAGGCGCACCTTCTACTTGTAGGGCCAGTAAAGTGTCACAGTTCACCAATCCTCGTCAGGTTCAAAAGCAATTATCGTGCAACAATTAATCTCATGCCATGGCCTGTCTCATGCGGTGGTGGCCCCACTTTCGCTTGTACCCACTCTAGTTAATATATTCGTGCGGTAACGTCCTTCGCGTTATACAGTCTTTAAGGCAGCTATAGTACCTGGATGCTCCGTAAGGGTAATCCACGTTAGGTGCTGACCGCGGGGTGTGACTTCGACATTAGCTGTTGGTCACACCATTTCCGTCTAACTCGAGTAGACCATATACACTGGGGATCTATACACTTTGTACGGGTAGTCGAATTCTGAAATTCGGTGTTGACTGAGCTAGGTCAAATTACTACTTAACATATTATTGAGTACTAATGAAAGTATCTCGCTATAATTTACTAATATTTTTTCATTTTTCATCATCAAAAATATCTAGCTTCCTACTCAGCGGCATCGGTGACGCATTGCTACTAGAAACAGAAACCCGTTAAGCCAATGCTTCTTTTATCCCGTTCACAACCATTTGAACTATTTCAACGATTTAGTTTTATCAGTCGCCAACACTAGCGGAAGGCTTTGAGAAATGATATTTTGTACTAGGCATATCATGGTTTGAAAACCAAATATTTCTTTCTTACTACATAACAACTCAATACCATTTCTAAAATTAAAGATGCATCATTCATTGCTAGTAGTTTCTCGATTCTTGATCTACTTACATTAATATCCAAGTCATACAGTAGTTGTATTCCAAGACCAAATATACGATAGTATAGTTGGAATCGTGATACCTCAGTTGTTTGAGCCAAATTTCGACAAATGATGTTCATCTATCAACCTCCATTTACCATTTTTTAGTGAATTAGAATGTGCCCACTAGTACGTGCTATGTTTGGATTAGACCAGCATATAAGTTTCTATACTGTAATAGAAGCCTTGTAAATCTGCCTTTACTTTCATGAAGACTTGTCAAGCGACTCAAAAACTAACTTAGTATCTGCTTTTGCAACGTTAGCTCGACATGCATTTTCAGCATGGTTAGTATATAGATTCGAGTCTCAAAGAATTAATATACTTGGATTATTTTCTGGTAAGTACGCTCCTAATAATGTGTTTAGATAAATCAGACCATTTATATACTCGCTAATTCAGTTCGTTCAGTCTTACTCTGCAGAGCAAAAGTTTCGCCTTATAAGCTGGTTCTATATGGCGCATACTAAACTTCAGCAATCAGCTAGGATGTTATATGAGTTTTGGCAACAGCTTATGTTATACAATCAAGTTCTTATAATCCAGACTTGTTTAAAGATTGTGTGAAGTTCTTATGTCCAGCCATTGAGAGCGTTTTTCATATTTTGCAGTTGGTAAAAGTGTAGGGAAATTCGGTTAGAGCATTTCAGGCTTGAAGAGTTTGTAAAGAAAAAAGATGTTTTCCGAGAGTCAGTCGAGTAACACTAAAAATTAATTTACAAATCAGTGTTAACATCTGGCCGTCAGACAAATCCTTATTACTAAAATACTTAATCTTTAATATACTACGACGACAGACAAATCAACCCTCAAGAATTTAAAGCTTAAGCAGTAATTAGGGTTTAAATTGAGGTCTTGTTGTTGAATGAGTTGTAGTATTGTATCAGCAGGGTCTTTTCCACAAAACGTCAATTACCTAGTAATGGTGACATGTTTCAGAGGTGGCATCCGGACGAAATAATTCAGAATCGATATATCGTCTTCGTCGGAAGACAATAAATATCTTTTGACATGGTTTTAAAGGTCGACAATAAACTAAGAACGTTTTTCCAACTAGCAATGAACAGAGGCTCCTCAAAAAACATTTAAAAATAAATGATTATGTATTTCAGTTGCTCGGGCAATTACTTATTTCGTTATTAGGTCGATTTTCAGTGATTTCTAGTGATTAAAGCTATCTTAAAATTTCTGGTTAAGCTTTCTTTTCTATGCATAGATTGACCATAATGTGAAGATTCTACTTATACTAAGGGTCTTTTCCCTATTGTTGAATTCCATGCGCAGAACCAATATATGGATATAGAAAGTTAGTAGGCCGAAATTTGAGTAGGATACTAATGAGGCTCATGAATTTTCTTTGTTAGGGGTGAGTTGTGTATATTTTAACTGGCAAAAAATTTTGTGATGCTATATATAGGCAGATATATGTACGACTCTGAAATATTTAATGGTCATGTCTTTGGTACCAACAACACTGATTCATAATTTTCGACTCTGTCAACAACTGAGGGTCTCTGGTCACATTTATGCTATAAAGAGCGTTCGATTCCATCGCCTTAACTGCGACTGATCTGTACAATCTTTTTGATAGTTCCTTCATTTTTATGAATTTTCAATTGCCCTAATAGTGTAGTGAAGGAGAACACAGTTGAGATCAACCGAATTATATTGAGCACAAAATTACAGTTACTTGGTAAAATAGAAGAACCATACTATAATACTTAATTTGCAAAATGTTCAATAATTGTCTCGAACTTCATTGTTCTTGCATTTCCATACTAATTGCTTTCTATCCCCACTCTTCCTTTCTTGATCTTCCCCATCTCCTGATGCCAGACATTACATTCCTGACCCACGTCATATACTACTTATATTAATATAAGTAGCACTCACCACAATAGTAAGCACTTAAGAGTTTTTAGCCAGTTCTCATTATTTATTATTATGACTTATTTACGATAATTCTTATCACATGTCACACGGGTGATCAACTAGTGTCAAATTGGAGTTAAGCTAGCTTGTTAATAAGAATCTTCCAATGGTTTCAAATACTTTATTCTTCTTCGTTATACTGATCTTCCCTTAGCTGTTTGCTTCATTTGCCGTGTATTACGAGCGATAAGAAGGGAAATGTCTTAAAGATATCTGTCAACGAAATCGAAGCATTGGAACTATTTTTGATCATATCGAAGTTCCATCATTTAGTGTGAGTACGTAAGTCGTAGTTGGATTAGAAGATGATGGGAATCGTATTAATTAGATGTTTGTTATGACAGCCAATATACAAACTTCATGAACAACTTTATATCCGAAGTGGCAGAAAAAAACCTTAACGAAATACGGTACTGTTTTTTTATAACATTATATATGTAGAAATATTTGTATTCTATATGTCCTTTCTATACATACTGAGTTCAAAATATTATAGATGACACAGTTAGTTGGAGTTTGACAACACTTTAACCAGTAATATGAAGCGTACCAATGAAGTGAAATCAAAATTCAGAAGCGAGTAGGTTTGAAGATATATTTGATAGGCTATCAATATATCGAGGATCGTCTGATCTAATCTGGCTACCGATTGCAGGGGTTGTTGATCACGGCGTTTCCACTCGTGATCTGGTGCGGATGCCTGACCGAGTGCCTTCAGCTAGGTGAGTTCATTAAAACATGTGGTCAAGATCAAATGTCGAAAACTTACAGAGCTATTTATTTTGGGGATTTATTTACCGCTACAATATACTGCCTATCACACTAAATATTCCATTTAGGTTGCTGTCTACAGCATGAAAGATACACTGAACCTCCGTCATCCCCCGCTTCTGCTTTACTCAATTGTAACATTTACTGCTCATTCTAAGTGCGCAGTGTAAATTTCGGGCAATACTTTATTTTATGGGGTTGCTGCCGACAGTTGTATCAAGAAAACAGCACTATACGTATTTTTACGGTTTGTTTGATGTCAGATAGGCAGAACCACTTTTGCTCCCTTGACGTTAGCTGTAAGTAAGAAATCTCTCAAGTAACCATTTTTTGTATTAAGTGGTAATGATCCGTCGCATACCACCATACATTTCATTTGTATAAATATGCCCCCTTTTTTAAAGTTAGCAACATCTATCTGTAAATTTTTAACATATACTACAGATTTTATTCAATACAAATTTGGAGGACCTTGATCCAGTGAACTTCAATTTTTAGTTCAACTACTTCAGTTTGATGTTTCCTAGTTTTTGATGATTGCTTTATTTTCTGTATCTAAATTTGAGGTCCAGTGAAAAAAATCTTTAAGTCTGTCGAGGCAGATGACTGTGAGGAACTGGATGTGTTGAATTTAGTCAATGTATGTCGCTTGCTACCAGAATCTGATCGATACAGATTGGAGTTTCACAAGCCCAAGAATGTCCTATTGTCATGAGAGCATTAACGGCTAAGATACCTTGAACGTTTTCTGATTTAGTAAACATTGTTTCACTGACCGAAATATGTGATGATTTCTAAAGGGTTCATTCAAATTATTACCACGTATGATGAGAAACAAAAAACTACAAAATTATCTTGCCAAACATTACTTTACTTTGATGTTATTTCCTACGTTTCCATGACAGTTAAAAATGAGGTTTGTATTTCTTTGCTTAAAGCAGAAGTAAGGGTGATTACTACTCAAAGTTTGATTAGAGAAATTTTTCTAAGTGTAAAATTATTTCAGTTAATCTAACCAGTTACTAGAGTACATGAATGAGTTAAAAACGACGCTTCTAAGAAAACAGCAACGACGAGTATTTGTACCACAGAGACTGGATAATTGCTCCTATTCCCCCCTCAGAAGAGATAATGAACAGCCTATTTTACATTCGGATTATGACGGCCTATTATTAATAGCGTGACATAATAGGAAGGTTTCGGTAAAAAAGCTGGGAAAATGGACGTAATCAACATCGACTAAGTTGAGCCAGTTTTCATCAAAAATGAACATCAAATAGTAGGAGTGGATTCTTTAAAAATAATCTCAACTCAGATACGCGAGTTTCACTCATCAATTACGCAAACACGGAAAAGAAAAGAGAGGCCAGTAATAACGAGATATGCTGGTATGGTTAAATGACCGTAACAATATACGGCACGATTTCGAATTTGCTCGCTGTTTTAGATATGCATTGCCTCCTCTGTTTTTGTACTTTGGACGTACACTATCTACTATTAAATTCGAGCTACTCTACGTACTTTTGCGTCTTTATGTTTGACGCTTCAAAAAAGTACTACTACATTTCTTCGATCTATTGTCATTTCTCTCAGCCCTGGAGTTCTGCGCAAACTCAGACACCCACGAACAAATACTGGCATATGCAGCAGCCTTTTATTGCAATTTAATTTGTATGAATCGATGTTTTCTGAATATTATGGTAACTGTTCAGCATAATGTTGCTTTCGCAAACGCAGACACACTTAGGTATCCAAGTTCAGAGAAAGAATTTATCATAGCTTCAAACTTACACTTGAATCAGTATACCATCATTTTTGTTGTGCTCTTCAGGTGACATGTCCTGTGAACTTTGTCACTTGAAAGTAAGCAATTTACTTGTTTCTTTGTGTTGTTATTACCACCGCATATGCACGAGCATATATGTTTGATTATCTGATTAAATGGCCGTATGACTCGTTCGCTTTCCAATATATGTTCTTAAATTCTGTCAAATGATTAACGATATTATTCGCCATGATTCGCTGACATCATCATTTCCATTCGTGCTCATTTACGTGTTTGTCCGCGACCTTAGCTGCAAACTTAGCATGGTGTTCGACCTTACCTATCGTGATGACCCAACCGAGCTATATTGGGTGGAACATATGTTCTTGTAGGTTCTGCGATGCCAGGCAGGTCGGTTGGAGAACGGTAAAACTAAAAGCGGCAACGCAAGGTCTGAGGGCGAAATCGTACTGCTGACTGTAGAGGGGTGTGACAGCAGTAAGGTGTTTCCCCACTACAACCATCATCTACAGCGATGCTGTCTTCTCACAAGGAAGGGGTTAGAAGAGATCGACCTTAAAAATGTCACACCTGATCCTACCTCACGGATTTCTGTTTGCGGCGGTAAGGGCTTCTGAAGAACAGGGCTAACACGTTAAAAACTTCCCACAAAAAGTTCGTGCGCAACCGGCCTCAAGCAGTTGTCCCTTGGACTCTGCAGCCACACTCCCAGATTGTTAAGACCAACACTAATCCAACTTCCCTTTCAGGTTCCTTAAGTAATACCCATCCACGGTGTGGGCAGCCGTGAAGTGACACCAGCCGTCATACCCGTAACAGCACACGAGACCAAGGTGGTCACAACCAAATCTTTCCTACACCTCCTAATAACTCTCTTATTTCCACAACTAACCCTTCTCACGTTTCTTTATCACCTTGCGCCACTAGTGCAAACGATTCAAGTACGCGGAACGTCATTCCTGGTATCCTGAAACCACGCTCTAAACTACATGTAGGAGCTTTTGACGTCCGAACACTGTGCCAAATAGGAAAACAGACTTCCTTAGCCAGGACTTTAGAATCTCGCGCCATAGATGTGTGCTGCGTCTCCGAAACGCGCATACAGGATCCGAGTAGCGTCATTCATCTGACCTCACCATGCCAAAATAAAGAACCGACTCGGTTCACACTTCGTGAATCTGGAAGCCATGATTCTGCTTCCTGTGGCCTCGCTGTTGTAGGTATAGCGTTGAGTCCTAGGACAGAACTAGCTCTCTTAGACTGGATCCCGGTATATAGTCGTTTCTGCTCTGTCCGACTAAACGGAACAGTAAGAACTCGGAAAGATATGGACACTCGCCGTCGCCTCTTCGTCGCCTCTGCATACTCTCCCACTGACTGCAGCTCAGATGAAGTAAAAGATGAGTTTTACAGAAAGCTATCCAACCTGCTCCAAAAAGTTAGGCGCTCTGATGTAATAATAGTAGCTGGTGACTTTAATGCTCAAGTAGGTAAACTAAGCGAAAGGAAAGACACCTGGGTGGATCTTATGGAGTCGTGACCCAAAGAACAGATGATGGCGACGGTCTGTTGTAGCTATGCTCAGATAACCGCCTGTTTCTAGAAAATACTAACTTTAATCATAAGGAAAAATACCTTTTGACATGACAACCCCAGAACTCATTCCAATGTTGGACCCAACTATATCACATCTCCATCAGCCACCGATGTAGGGGCTCGCTGGAAGACTGTCGCTCGTTCTTGAGCACATGTTTAGATTCAGATCATGCTATGGTGCGAGCGCGTATTTGTCTGCGTCTTACTGGACGTAGGAAAGACGCTGCAAGGAAACCTCTTAGGGTTCTACTTAATGATAGCAAAGCTAAGAATATATTTCAGGAACAACTAGAAAAACAGGCAATTATGTAAGTGATGCCCACCCCGAGGCAGCTTGGAATGATATCCGAAAAGCTATGTAAGGTAAACCATAAGGTTAGGGAGAAATACTGGATCTCAGCAGCATCAAGCACACTGATAGATGCTCATTCCATCTGGCTCCGAACGTGACGAAGAGTGAAGTCAGCTTAAGCGCAGGCTGGTGAGAAGCCTGCGCAATGATTACGAACAGTGGTGGATAGCGAAAACAAGATAGATGGAAAAAGTAGTGGCAACAGGCCACAGCAGACAACTGTTCAGACTTGTCAAGGAAACTGGTATTAGGAATCCAGCTGTTAGCGAAACTATCTCTGAAAAAGATGGACATGTTATCCACTCTCAACCCAGGAGATTGAATTGATGGGCAAAACACTTTAGGGGTCGGTCCAACTGGCATTCAGCCACACTTCGGTTCCTCACGATCTCCAGTCGACCTGGGTGGTAAGTTGATGTAGGTCCTCCAACTCTTTACGAAGTTGAAAAAGCTATAGGAAATCTGAAACGAGGGAGAGCAGCAGGCCCTGACAGGTTTACTCCTGAGATTTTTAAGGATGGTGGTCCAGTATTAGCAATGAGATTAACCGAGGTCTTAGGTAGAATTTGGGAACTGGACGTAATCCCATCTGACTGGTCTCAATCACTGATTGTGTCAGTCCATAAGAAAGGACAAAAGTCCTCTTGTGACAATCACAGAGGAATCAGTTTGACTAATATAGTGTCTAAAATATTAGCTTCAATAGTACTTTGATGCCTAACCGAGGTTCGTGAGGAGCAGACTAGAGAAAACCAGGCTGGTTTTCGACCTGGACGTGGTTGTATAGATCAGATATTCACACTACGTCAGGTTCTAGAACACAGACACACGTTTAGACGCCCCACAATAGTAGTATTTCTCGACCTTAAGGCGGCACTTGACTCTGTTGATCGCGAGGTTCTATGGCAGTGTTTGTCACTGAAAGGAGCACCAAATAAGTACATTGACCTTATAAAGGCTCTCTACTCGAATACAACTGACCGAGTGAGAGCTTATGGCGAATTGTCATCAGAATTGATTACCTCAAGTGGTGTTCGTCAGGGCTGTCCACTCTCTCCATTTTTGTTTAACTTTGTGGTCGACGTGCTTTTAGAGATAACACTATCTTCATCTATATTTCCAGGAGTTGAACTTCTACCGGGAGATTAACTTATTGACTTAGGATATGCTGATGACATAGTTCTATTTGGTGAAGACGCTGAAAAAATGCAAAGTCTTCTGACCACCGTAAACAACAATGCAAGGATGTTCAAGATGGAATTCTCCCCCCCCCAAATACAAAATGTTGCCTCAGGATCGGGTTGCATCGGCACCTGAACTAATAATAGGGAGTGAAAAAGTTGAGCATGTCGACCGCTTCACTTATCTTGGGAGTATCATCAACTATTGTGGTCTGGTGTGTGACGAAATCTCAGCACTGATACAGAAGGCTCGACTAACTATTGCCAACTTGCGTCATTTATGGCTCAGGCGAGATATCCGTCTATCAACCAAAGGACGTGTTTACTGCGCAGCAGTTCGTTCCGTCCTACTTTATGGCAGTGAATCATGGCCGGTAAGAATAGACGATATCCGTAGGTTACTAGTATTTGATCATAGGTGTCTTCGAAATATTGCTCGTATATCCTGGCACCATCGAGTAAGTAACACAGTTGTTAGGAAACGGGTACTAGGTAAGGATGGCAAATCAATTGATGAAGTAGTGAAACGTCATTAGTTGAGATGGCCGAGACATGTGTTACGTATGTCCAACCACCGACTGCCTCGACGTGGGATGTTCAGTGGTGTAGGAGTAGGTTGAAAGAAAGCTAGGAGCGGCCAGACCAAAACATGGCACAAATCCATGAAGTCATTGACAAATGGACTGAGCCATGTTGGTAGGTGCAAACTATCTGGTTGGGATCCGCGATATGATAGCAGCCGATGATTAGAAACCTGGAATGACAGGGCTCAAAGTCGTTTGCAATGGCGCAGGTGCATCCACCTTTTGTGTTCTGCCAAATTCTAATATTCTGAATTCTTAATGTCCTTTTTTTCTCTTTCCAAATTTCTTTTCTCTATATCTGTGCTAATGTGGTGTGGCAACTTGAACTGATACACGTACGTACGAAGTTCTACGTTATTGGTGACTGACTGAGTTTTCCGGTTATGTTATATTTTGATATCGGCTCATTCATGGTTTACATTAATTATTCGATATGGGAAGCAGGTTTCATCGGACTATATTGTGTCGTTGCTCATCGTCTATTGATTACTGTTGCACTCACCATTTTAACAACACAAATCGTGCTCATCACAAATCCTGAAAACTCATTCACTATAACAATAAAGTAAGCTGTTTGCCGTCTTTCAGCTTTGATCAAATAAGGATCTCAAGTGGTATCGATTATCAGTCCCAAAAAGTGTTCCTTTGAGCAGAAAATTGCTATTATGCATTTTGTGTAAATTTGATATATGCAATACTTTCGAATATTCTTTTGTTTCAGGAATATAAAAAGATCTTATATTTCTTTCCTAACGAAAAATCACTGGATGATAAGCTGAATTCTATTGGATTATCCGAAGCTATTGCAACTTTTACAAAGTAAAGTTACATAAATAAATATGTCCATACATCATCATGTTTATCGTCTAAACATACATTTTATAGTTCTTTCAATTCACCATGTACATCAATACGTACGAAAAATACGAAAAGACTTTTCAAAAGTTTAACACCCAGTATACAAGTTGTAATTGTAAGACGTACATTGTTTTATAAATATTACCAAAAAATTGCACTTTTCTAGGTTATTTCAGTACCGTCTATTGTGAGTTCAACAAATGATAATCTAGTTGAAAATGATTATTTACACAATGAAATTATTGATTCAGTCTTGTCTGTTGCCTGTGAAACTTTTGAAGTGAGTAAAATTAATGTCCTTTTTCTATGAAAAATGTTTCTTTTATCCACATTTTTAAAAATTATTTGTTCGAACTTATGATTCTTCACTTCCTTTTATGTTTTATTTTTTTCAAAGCTGTTCCATGGAAAAGTTACTGAGATCGTTAAAACTTATGATTATGAAATATTAAAGGCTAAATTAGAGCACTTCTTTTCTCGAGTAAGTGTTTGGTTTATGGAACATTCTAATAAACCGAAAAATTACAAATTATTGTTCACTTTTTGTAGTATTTACGTACTATGCTTTTCGAATACTGTGATATATTGGATTGTTTCAACGGAATTCAATTTATATCGATTGAACCAACTGATTTTGGCCGTGTTCATGGCCTTCTTAACAGGATTGGATATAGTTTTAATTGTACCGAACATTCGGCGTTTTTCTTTGAAGGCAGACTTATATAGTGAGTTGTTTGAATTACTAGTCGAAAATTTCTTTTAATCGCACATTGTTTTCATAATTCATAACATTTGATTTGTACCATTATGGTAGTCGGGATCGTTGTAACCCTAAGTTCATAGTCTGATGCAAATCAGTACTCCTGTTCTGCATCGACTAAACAAGAAACATCGCTAATAACAGTATAGCAGTTTTATTTCATCTATCCCTTACTTTCTCAGATGGTCATGCAAACACATACATTAGTCAGTATTTCGTTTCACTAGCTCAAATATTTGATGTTTCTATTGTAAATTAGTAAACTTGTATGGAGGAATCTTTATATGTTTTCAACACTCAACTTTCAAGTAGTTCAGAATCAAGTGCGCAAAATTGATACTCCAATTTGTTTCCTAATTTCGACGGTATGTTTTCGATCCGACGTTCCCTTGTAAATTTCTGTTACAGAAACGTGGAGCCTCAATGTAATTTTCATAGACATATCGTATCGTTTTTACAGAAAAAAAACTCATTACTGGCTTTAGCTCGAAGTTTATACAATCCAACTTTAGTTCAAAAGGTGTTTACATGGTTTTCTATCTGCTGACTTGTGCCCTTGTTAATTATCACGTGACTTATTTGTTAATCAGAACACGACTTGTGCGGTCTTAGCACTGTACCAAGCCAATGACGTGTTGACCTGTACGAGCAGTCTAGAGTCCTTATTGATCCTCGCATAGCCCTGTCAGTTGAGTTCAGAATGCTAATATCAGCTTGCACTGTATGAATATTTCCCAGACATACTTGGTTTGTATACAAGCAAACCAGACTACGTCATGAAACAAAAAATAACAATTATACAGGATCAAGCCCAAATGTGGCTGTGAGAGACTGTCACTAATAAACTGGGAATAACATAAGGATAGTAAACCATATAATAGTAGTCAATAGGTCAGATGAAAGCTTACGATAAAAGGAATATAAATATATATAGTCTAGTTACTTAACAGTTATACAATAAGTATATACATATTATAACAGTTCGTAAATAGTTCCCGAAAGTTACCCATAATTTAACCTTCGTTGTTCTGACAAAAAGTTCATTTATTTAGATCCAATAACCAAAGTTATTTTTTTAATACCATTTTCTGTTAACCGTCTATTTACATACTTACGCCCGTTACCCTTCGCGGAGGAGAATAGGCAGCCCAACCATATGGCTGCTTGTGGTTAACTCAAATATATGAACATTTTCAAGGTAACTTATAGCAAGTTTGCTTGATATAAGTAAAATGAGTTCAACAAGAGCTAATTCATTCATCAAGTATAGGTATATGTACTCGGTTTTGTGACACTGTGATATAACCCGGTTGCCGAACCTGAAATAGGTAAAACAGGTTCTCAATTTGAGGCTTACTGATTAGAAGCCAATATGCTACAACTGCACAGAGAATTCGAAAGCTAAGCAAAAATCTCGATTCTTAAATAATGATACTTATAAATTATTTATATTTATGTCTGGTCACAGTATCAGCGTTGATGTTGATATTTTGTTTCAGTTTGACTAATGCCTTATCTTGCTTAATCACCTTAATAAGTGGGTTTTATTTCCTCCTAATGAACTATTTCATGCAAATCCTTTCTTTTCCTGTCTCTCCAATTGTTTTGTTTTAGTTCTACTTTGGATCTAACCTATGTTCGTCATATTTATCACTATTTAAATTCATTTCTATTTATTGAGCAACCAGATTTAACACATGCGACTACTATTAAAACAAAATCTAAACATTTAGGAAGGTAATGATATTCTTAGTTGTATAAATGATGTATTGAATATATTAACGTTTGATGATACATAAATGCTGTATTTAGAAGCCTGGTTCGCAATCAATGCAATGTTTAAGAGTTTTATTAAATCACTTTAAACATTGATTTTTACTAATATATTTTCTTGGAGAACTAATTTTAAAGGTTAAAAACATTTGAGACGTCGGTATTTTTGAAAAGCTGGTTACAGAAACCTTAAAATATCTCTTAAGGATTGTATGATTTTTATTATTCCTTTTTACTTCAGTAACTTTAATACTAGTGTGGAATGGAACCAAGTAAATCACTGAGTTGTAAAGTTTACGGTTGATAAATATTTTTCAAATACCCTATTAACATTATGATCAAGGGAATTTGAAATTTCGTATCCTTATTACAGACTATTTCACTATTAATGTGGCAAAATGTTATGTTATTATGGCCCGTCAATTATCACGTGACAAGATCGCCAATCGGGACACCAACTTATATGACCGTTAAGGCGTCCGCTTATAAATAGAAACACATGGATGTTATAATTTAGTATGAGGAATTGGAATTAAGATTTACAGTTGGTGGTTAGGGTAAGGATTTATATTTAGAGTTTTCATCATGAGCTGATATCAGCTATAATGCCAAAATTCTATTTAGCCCAATGGATGAGTGAATTTCACGCCAAATTCTGAGATCTATAATCTTATACCTGATCGACTCATCCATAAACTATAGTTTTGCCAAATTCTTCGACACAGTGCTGTACGTATTCCTCAAAATGAGGGTATAAAAGACGGGTTTCAGTGACACACTTATATTCTGGCTGCGAAATCACCTAGAGAACAGGAGTTTTAAAACCAAGATGAATGGGATGCACATGAGCTAAAGGGTAACGATATTGGAAGCATTATAGAGAACCATCATATGTTCACTCTTCTGACTTTAAATAATGAACTTTGCGTAATAGTTAGGTCACAGCGTGAAGTTATCGAAACGGTGAAAACATGTTAAGGTTCACAAAAATCGAGAAGCATTCATTTGAGCTTTCAAATAATATTACAACAATAGAGGAGTGGGCAGCAGACAATGAATTAAAACGTAATTTGTCGAGTCTTCATACTATGAATATTATCCCATCATTTGACACTGAGCACCTACCAAATTTACGGAACTTTGCTCCTGATTGTCTCCCAGAGCATGATCTCTTGCTTGTAAACGCGAGAACTTAGAGACCAGTTTAAACAACATGAATGATGCAGCCACGGAAAACGAAAATCTCCATTCCATGCGAAGACAACTTGGCGCAATCACCCCAGAATTGGTCCTAACTCTTATCAAAAGGTACACAAAGCTCAACCTTGAAGTCGGAAATGTCGTTGCGCCCCATCTCTTCAAAAAAGACATAAGTCTATTAGACCGAGTACAGAGACGAGCAACTATGTGGGTGATGGGGCTAAGGTATGAATCTTACGAAGACAGACTCCAACACATGTGATTATTCTTACCGAGCTTTAAAAGAACAAGAGGTGGTCTGACGATCACATATATCTCATTAAGTGCACCAAGCAATCCTAACATGGGCATCCCATTATAACATTACCTCCATGCTCCTTGAGACAACCTCTAGAAAACTGCACGACAAAGGGTGAGAACCTGAGTATTCTCCTTCCACTTTTCGTTAAGGTTTACTCCACTTGGAGTGTTTAATCAGCAGATGCGACCACAGCCCTTCAGTGGATACCTTCAAGGGGAGGGCTGAAGAACACGTACCTACCCGTGGACTACCATCTCCCACTTAAACCAGCCGCGTTTGTTGCATATACTGCAACTTACCTACTGTTACCATCACATATAATTAACCTATTCTCATCTCACTTATTATTAACTCCGTCTAGCCCTTTTATTCTTGCACTTGTCTTGTCACACCGTCAATATCGCCAATTAGTTAAATTGCTTACTTATTTACATCTTGAAACAATCATCTCTTATCATTGTGATTTTCCCTTTGGTATTTTTCAAATTATTAACATCCAACATTCTGCTCGGTAGTGTGATAGCTTATAGTATCTAGAAACCTACTGTCCTGAAACAAACGCAATTCAATCACCAGGCATACAAACACAAATAACTATGGAACTAACTAGAATTAATATAATCATATAATACCGTAGCGAAATAATAAGCAAATATATTGAAACCAGTCGTCATATACAAGCTCCTCATAAAGACATTAGACTTCGTAAATAAAATCAGTCATTTGTGTTCGAACATTCTAAAGCTAGTAAAACAAACCGTTAAATATTCTTTATCTTGAATTATCCACACAATGGTCTCCCTCGTTACTTGAATGTTCACAGAAGGTCTCAGATTCCTATTTGTGTAGTAAAGACAGAAGGCCTACGGCCTACGTTATTTCTTTTCTAGTATTCTTCTCCGAGTGTTTAGTCCTCTTTTGAAAGAGTCAATTGATGGTGCGGACACCACTGCTTCAGGCAGCAGGTTCCAAGAACTGATGACTCGGTGTGAGAACCTGTATGCCACGGGTATTTTGTTCATTCTTGGCTTTTCTACTCGCCTGCTATGTCCTCTGATATATCTCGATCTAGTGGGAAGAAAAAGAGAGAATAAGTTAGGTTCAAAATCATTTCTCAGTACTCTGGACATCAAAATTAGATCTCCCCTTAGTCTGGGATAGAATAGAGTACAGATGTCCACCTTTTCAAGTCGCTCTTTGTATGGTCAACCCCGGAGTTCTGGAATTGCACTGGTAGCTGCCCTCTGTACTTTATCTAAGATATCCGAGCCACCTTTCAAACAAGGGCTTGTAGCTTAAACGCAGTTCTCAAGTTTAGTTCTCATTAAGGTTGTGTATACTGTGGTGAACATGGTGGTATTTAAATCGGTGAATGTTCGTTTTAAAGCCCAGAGAATTCTAAACCCCTTATCTGCGACCCCCCAGCAATGGGCTGTCGTCTTAAGATCATGACTCACTGTCGCCCCTAGATCCTTACGAGACCGGACCACAGGTACAGGCACTTCCCCTATACTGTATATATTAACCTTTGTATCCCCAAAGTGCATGTAGACACACTTTGCCGCGTTGATAGGCATCAGCCACACTTTAGATCAGTTAATCACATTATTTAAGTTTATCTGAAATGGGCGTGCATCTGCGTCTCCGGTTATTACTCGCCAGAATTTTATATCGTCAGAGAATGTTAGCACAGGGGGCTGTAATATACTTGGGAGATCCATTACATGCTGTATAAAAATTAAGGGACCTTGGACAGAATCTTGAGGTACTCCACTAAATACTGGTCTCCAGGTGGAGCACATTGAATATATTCTTGCTTTGTATCTACGACCTACTAGGAAATCCTTAAGCCATTTTAAGAGAGGTCCGGCAATACCAAGATTTTCTAACTTCAATGGCAGCCTATTTGTTGGCACCTTATCAAATGCCTTACTGAAGTTTATGTATACAACATCCACTGAGTTCCCGTTGTCTAACGCCTTTGTCCAATGTTCCCTTGCTATGAAAAGCTTTGTTGTGCAAGATAAAGCCTTTTGAAACAATTTTATTCTCTGTTTAACAAGTTGTTGGTTTTCACAAATGTCATTATGGTCTATTTTAACTATTATTTCCATTATTTTAACTAGAACACTGGTGAGATTGACATGTCTGTAGATCGATGGAAATTGTCTTGGTCCTGTTTTATCTATGGGAGTGACGATTGCATCCTTCCAGTCCATAGGTAACACACCTTGGCTAAGTGGCATATTGAATATCACAATCAATAGAGCTGCGATATATTGTGCAATATGGCTCTAGAATTTGGGGTGTGGTTCATCCGGTCCTGTTGACAATTCTGTGTTCAAGGTGCTAAGAGCTTCAATTACATCACATCGGTCAAAGTCCACGATGAGCATGCGGATTTTTGACTGTGTTCGGGCCTAGTTCTTCGTCTATAACAGGTTCCTGAGTGAAAACTGCCCCAAAATAGTTAGCCATAGTGCTTGCTTTTTCCTGATCTTCCTCTATTATTTCAGATTCACTCCCTTCTTTAACTAAGTTGAGAATCCAATGATGCATCCTTGTTCCGTGGTTTATGTACGAGAATATTCTCTTAGGCTTCTTGAGTGCAGATTGTGCCAATTGCATTTCATACTTTTTCGAGCTTATCGAATTTTTGTTATACACGTGTTTCTTACCGATCTGTAGCGTTCCATCGGACCTACTGTGCCAAGGCGGATAGCAACATTCTAACATTTCTTCCTTTGTCTTAGCAAATGTTGAGTATCCCGGCCTATCCAAGGGATGGTCGTGATTCTTCTTCTTCTTTGGGACTGTCCAGGGTATATATGGTTGAGTTACCTGATTGTGTAACTACCTAAAATGAGTCCATGCCTCTTCTACTTATGCTTATGAGTCAATTTCCTAGTTGTTAGCCGATGCTGCTGAATTAATTGACTCCATGTCTGCCTTCCATATGTTAGGAAGGGCCTACGCAACTGTTTGTCAGGCCATCTTAGCCATGAATTTGAATAAACTGACTGCATGATCATTTCTTTTCAGAGGTGGAAGAAAAGTCATTTGACCAACGTCATCACCGTGTGTGAAGACCAAGTCGAAGAGAGGCGAGGAGCTTCGTAAGTCATATCTGTTAGGATCTCTAATGTGTTGGAATAAAGCTAGTGCGATTGAGGTTCTTAACAGTTTGCAATAGAATGACGTTATCGAGGACCCTACTTCTACGTTAACCCAGTCTATATACGGTGCATTAAAGTCGCCTACTACACGGCTTTTAACCTTGTTACAGCAGGGCTTAAGTTTACTTAAGAGACAATCATCTACTACTCATTTTAGACTGCGGTATCCTACAACTAATCTAATATCTTGCCGTCTACATTTCAGCCTGCGACGCACCAGTTTATATGTCCCTGAATCATATGCCACTGGCTCTTATGGTTAAGGTACTTTTCGTGTACAGGATGACTCCACCACCTATACGGTTTAGTCTTTTACTTCTACTGGACAAAAAACCAGTCAACTGCGTTTCATTATTGAAAACCTCTGACGCTAACCATGTTTCTGAGATAGCAATATCATCCGGAATTTCTATACCCACCACATTCATGAGCTCCGTCATTTTATTTTGTATGCTGCGAGAATTTGTATAACACACCTTTAACTTTGTGAAGAACTTTCTCTTAACACCCAGAGTGGTTTTGGGATCGTTTTGCTCCGAACGTTTACAATTTGAAAACCCTTAAGAACAAGGTTTCTTTCACCGTTTCGGAGACGCTCATTTATTTCCACTTCTTCAGCTCGTCTCTTGATACGGTCGACTAGGCTGAGATCTTCACGGACATATATTCCGGATCCAATCAGTTTACGTGAGTTACCTAGAATCAGGTTCCCTTCTCCAACAGTGGCCAATATAACCTTCAAGAGGCGGATTTTCTGAGGACTTTCCGAATTCACCTTTAGTCCTATTCTATAAAGCTTAAAGATGCTAACTCCTCAAACTGTTTTGGGGAGTAGCTTGCTTATTAAGGACTTCATGTGACTGAGGTCATGCTCAAATCTAGCCTTTGGTTCTTCATCGGAAGATTCTCTTAGTTTGTGAAAGAAGACTGGCCTGTCTGCGAGGTCCGCCTTAACACATTGTGGGATTTTAGTTTCTGAAACCGTTTCTTCTTTGCACTCCGATTTCAATTCAGCGTCAAGCGCAGAGGTTACGTTCTGTTTTCTTAATTTATTTCGTAGATGTGACTATGAGTCGCTCATCTAACTTATTTTGTCTCTTGATTACTTCCTCTACACTGCTCAGACTTGGCTCTCATGTGGTTTGTATTACATTAATATGTGAATCCGGGACTAAACCCGCAGATTCACATGCCTCAGTGCGGTCTATAGGTAGTTTCTTCTTCGCTGTGCGCTTCTTTCTCCTTGTAACCGTGCCTACATCCATATGCTTATTTGTTTTCAAGATGAGGTTCCCCTCCATGGTCTCATTCAAGTATGGAGCTGAGTTAAAAATAACGCTCTCAATTTCCTCAAATGGAGAGTATTGATCATCTGCTGCTGCCTGTTTATCAGAGGACGATTTCCTAGCTAAGTTTAGCATCTCGATCGCATTTAGAATCAACAGAGACTTAGTAGAACAACATGCTTTACACAACCAACGTGATAATGGCTTGCAGCACTGTTTATATGCAGCCGGTGCACACATTTTTATACCATTTATTGCAATTAACACATTGCATGCCCTCATCGACCGGTAAATAACATTCTCGTCTACCACGACGATGTTTCAATTGTCCCATGTATTTGTTTGTTCCTATATAAAACAAAGAAACAATACAAAAAAGCTACTTCAGTAGCTACAGAAAGATTTTAACAACTATCGATATAAACAATGCACAAAGATATATTCAACGACAAAGATTAAGTACCAGTGCCTTTAGTTATATGTATCTGTCTTCGTTAAGTACAGATCAAAAATTTCTCTAGAGAAAAAGCTGTACTTTTGTGAATCACTTTAACTGAAAGAATTCAATTAAAGCGAAAATAGGCTGCTATTAAACGCAACTCGATTTCGTAAACATGATAGTTATTAAATTAAAAATACATTATGAAATGACAAATTCTATGATTACTTAACCGCACAGATGACCATCATTACACTGGGAAATGCATTAGGCTTACATGGTTGCGTTGCAGATAAAACCATTCCAAAAATACTACTGCCATTTTTGAATAGCGCGCGTCAGAAGAAATTCAACAAAAATCACACTACTTGGTCTGTTTATAAATCAATACATGTTGCATAAAGAAGTGGTTTGTGTTCCTTCGAACGGTCAATGAAATAAGAACAATTCCAGATAATTTGCCATCGACATTCAGCCATCCAACCAGAAATCTGTATCTGAATCAGCCGGAACATACAAATTATTATTTACGGCGCGTTGTGATGCTGTGGTGAGTACTTCGGTATTTGCCCGAACATTCGTAAACGATATCTGTCTTCCACATAGATCAGTTTAAACAATTATTAGTGTTTTCGCATTTATGTAGCAATAATTAGAGCTTAAACAGAACCTCTGGTCATTTGTATTTCTGTTTATGATGCTCTACGGTTCAAAACCAATATAAAACAAACCCCACGTCCTACTTGCTTTATTATTTCCTAGTCACACATTTTTGGTTATTTTACAGACTAGATCCATTCAATTCTGACAAAGTCATATTTGAGTCCACATTATTAACAACTTGAGTCTTCTGGGATAGAGGTGATTGAATCTGGTTTCCATGTTATTCGTGGATTTACACGTATTGTTAACTTATTTCATACAAAAGGTCATGCATGATCAATTATACACACCCCTCACCCATCTCCATTTATTTGTTTGTATCAGTTTGATCCAGTAACAATATCAACGTGGTAGAAATTAATCAGGTTCTACCGTTTGCTAAGCACTCAGCAGACACTCGGATTTAAGAGGAATATGAGTTCAAGTGGATTCTAGACGCGGGATTTGGATGTGTTCTATCGTCTTCAGACCTATGATCTCATGCCGTCGTATAATCACAGTCTATCAGTGAGATAGACATCACTTCATCAATAAGATGTATTACTTGGATCTACGTAATTAACTGCTAGTCTCACCGAGAATTTAGTCTGTTTGCAACAATTCAGTCAAAGCATTTTACATATCCAAGTGCTCGTGAAATAACGGACACAGTGTCTAGCGTTTTGCCAACTATGACATACAACTTACGAGGAAAAGTTCCAAATTACTTTTCGAACGCTTACACACTAGTCTCGGGTCTGTTTTCTTAATTTAATGCCGGGGAATTACTTAAATCCAGGTTGAGCAATCCATAGGTAAAACATTTTGCAACATTTGAGAAGATGAGCTTCATGGCACGTGTTTCCAGAAAGTAGCGTTTTGTTGTCCAGTTACAGTCTGTTTTACTTAACTATAAATATGGTGTCATTTAAAGTACTGTTGAGAGCCAAGTGTGCAAATTTGCAATTGATGAATGATTTTCATTAAACCATAGGTCTTAGCCTAATATACTTAAGATTACGCATGCGCAACTACCGACTACCACGGCGCCCAGTGATGATTAGTGTTGAAGACGGACGAGAAAAACGTGGCATCAGTCCATAAAGTCTGGTCTGAGCCATGTTGGTAGATGTAAACTACTTGGTTGGGGTTCGCGTGACTATCGTAACCAATGGTTGGAGACTGTGTGACATGGCTCAGAATCGATCACAATGGCGTCGGTGTATACACTCTTTGTATTCCCTTAAACTATGAGATTAAAATCGTTTCATATCTTTCTACGAGCTAATTCTTTCTTCCTGTACTATATCCTTATTGCAATCTTTCTTTTATATGTTACCACCTCTGAATTAACTACTTTTATGAATCCGGTGTCTATCTTGTGTTAATGAGGTATGGTAACTTGGACGGATGCATATATTTGCCTGGTCCTACGTTGTAGCTGACTGACTGCCTCATATAAATTGTAGAGATGGTTTTTCTAACCTTAATTCAAATCCCCAAGAGTTTTTTGTTAGTTTCTTCACACAACTATCTTTGAAATATCTATTATCAATTCGTCTGTATTTAGGTTTTTTCTCAAAGCGGACTGATCAAGTCTAATTTTGTTATCTTCTGGAAGCGTATTTGTTTAGCTCTTCCAAACTTTATAACATAGCCAAAGTTCTAAATAATTGTCATTACTGGTCTTGTTGCTAAGTCAAATGCTAATATTGACCGAATAGTTTTCCTACCATCCTGCGTGTGATTAAACATTTATTGACATGCGTTAAAATCTCGCAAACCTCAATAGTTCTAATTATCAGACCCTAGTACTTGAAGTACCATTGTTACTGAAGTGTATACTTGTGGTCTGGCCTTACAAATTTTTGTACTGTCCCTGCTGGGCATGTCTTATATCCATTCATTTATGTGCTTGTGTCTATAACTTGATCTCGTTAGTAGTCATATCGTATCTGCATATTACAATTTTCCAACTTTATATTTACTCATTTTAACAATCCAAACGTTTACTACAAGAATATCTGCCAGAATTGAGTCCAGAGGACTTCTCACGGAAACTATCAATTTGATAAAATGATATATTGTTGAACTGTAATCGAAAGTCTTTGATGCACATCAGTAGAAGTTGGTTAAATTCGTCAATTTGCAAAGGATGTCCCAGTATGTCGACACATAGATTTTCTAGTTTCTTCTAGGGGGATTGCGGTAAATAATAATGATATATCCAATGAATCTATCAATTGTAGATGACTGATTATCATGAAGATTGATATTAGTTATACTTGATAGATTCAAATTTTTATTAGATTACATGTTCAGTGAATGCGATTGAATGATGATAAGTTATATCTCAAAATAATACCCATGGTTTTTGAAAGATAGCTTACTCTGTAATCAAGAACTCAATAGTGCTCTACTATGTTTTTTGCACACGATTGTCGCTCTTACTCAATTTTTTTATTTTTTCTATTAGGATCACACATCGTTGGTTCTAATTCACTGGAGTTAAATAGTCATGCTGGTTTTCTCCACCTATGAGTTCCTTTGGTAATTTCTTAAAACAGAAAGTTCTACCTAGTGGCTCAAGGACCAACTTGAGGACAAAATTTCGTAAGTGGATAATTGCTTTCAAACGTGCCTCACTAAAAATGTCCGCTAAATTATGTAAAAGCTTAAATCGATCCATGTTCACGCTCGATAGTTACTAATTCCATTGATTGAAGGGATCTAATTAACGATAATAGTTAGTACAAATTAAAATACAATCCACCAAATCATATATTCTATACCAAACATAAAAATTTAATACCAACTGTGAATCACAGTCAATGACCGGAAAAATCATGAATTACCTGTAACGATATACGAATGATTCAATTAAAGGTGGTCTAGAAGTACACAATACAAACTGATCGGTAGATTGTCACATGAGTTCTTAAGTAGCTTGAATTTTTCTGTGGACGATGTAGTGTACATAGTGGGTATCCAAGAGTATAGCATCTCCCATCCAGAGCCATATTTTAAGTGATACTCATGTACAAATAAAAGGTAAAGAAATCGGAATTATTAGGTAGAAGTGTGACGGACGGTACTCACAAGATTGCTTATAAGTATTATGTAGCGAAACGTCGCGAGTAAGTTGCTACAGTTGACAGCCGAAGAGAAGAATCCCAGGTTGTCAATTAGCATAGCTTATGCAGGATACTTTGCATATCAGAAGAGAAGCGAAATAAGAGTCTAGAACCAAATTTGATTGAAGAACACAGCAAGATGCGAATGGATAACTGATGACTAGGTGTACATATTGCGTAAACATTCCGTAATCTCGCTAAATAAATATGCTTTCCGGCGATTCCGTCTCGACTTACAGTACCACAAATAACTCGCGGGATCCGATTTTATCTTCAATTTATACGATTTGCTTACAAATAATTTTCATAGTATCGGCGAGTTATTCGCATTTTATCATTGTGTTCATTACTATGGGTACTACAGTGTACAATTAATCCGTACACTACATAGTAGTTAGGTTGTTGGTAATTTTAACTGAAAAACGTTTGACTTTTTTATTTCGCTAGATACTTATTTCAAACAACTGGTAAGAGATTATATTTCATCTGGTCGTGACTCTTTACAACTTATTCGTCAAAATCCAGTACGATCTACTCTCTGGGCTTCAGCTGTCCTCGCTGTATCATACATTACCAGCACCTGTCCCAATAAACAGAATTATTATGCTTCTCTCGTTGAATCTGCTATTGATTTGTGGGAAGTTCCAGATCTTATACGCAACTCTGGAAGTGCCAGCTACATTCATAAATGTCTTAAATTATTCTCTAAAGAACAGATTAGGTATAATAACCTTGGATTATTTGCAGTTATCTGGCGTGATGATCGAACTCAGTCGTGTTATCAGTATGCAGAAATATGCAAGTACACCTATCCTGCGAACGGGGGAGGGAATTTTACAGGTCTCCTTCGTTTATTCTTGTTCGATCGTCCTCAAGAAAATGGTCTGGAACGCATACAGAATATTGTTCAAGATCGCATTTTGGATTTTGGATTCATGGGAAAATGGTGGTTCATGTCACACTACATGGATAACTATGACATCAATCCTGACGAATGGGAAACTCCAAAAATCTTCGAGAAGCTCACCAGGAAAGAGTCGGACTAATAACAGTTTTAAAAGCAGTGCGAAACCTAGTCAGCCTACTTGCTCGTCATCTCATTTTAAACCATTTGAAGATCAAAACTGCAGCGGACAAAATATTGAGTTACATTTGAATAGTCCTAATAACACGAGTGATGACTGGGAAATAATAAATGAAGAAGTTTTGTACGTAGATTGTCAAGGTCTGCTAGAAGATGATATCTTAACCCCATCTAGTGTCATTCGCCTTGTGGATATAGAGTCAGATAGACCTCTTATGCAGGTAAATTAGCTGTAGATTCAGTGTGTTTTTTTAAAGCGTACATCTACTAAGTTCTTGGTATTTCATAATCAACCTATACTAATACCCATTTTTTCTAAGGCACCAATATATTTAAGTGTGTCATACGAAGAGTTTCATCACAACGGTGTTCGTAAATGTTGTGCTTTAGTCCGATACAAATGTTCACTTTGTGTTTTACAACTTACACCACTCATGACATGAAACATGTCAATCATAAACGGATATATAACATACAAGCGCACTCTATTCTGCTATATAGCTTTGACAAATGCCTAATGAAAGAAAATAGAAGCTATGTGTGTTTCAGGACCTTTTTTGAAGTTTTGTCAAATACTGGGTCATCGTGAAAATAGTATTTTAAGTTAACTTCTAAAACTACTTACATGGTTTTCATAACTAGGTCGTAAAATTGTAGCTTATTGGATAAACTGCTTGTGTTTCAGTGAGTATAAACCTCACTTCACATCCATATGAAAAACTGGGTAGTATGGTCCAAAGTTGAGCTCATTAACCAAAAACAAGAGTGATCAATAAATTTTCAATTTGTTGTGCATTGTTGTTGGCTAACAAGTTCTTCATTGTTAATTGGCTGTTACGTGTAAAACGAAACCGCCTGTTCATGATTAGCGATTAAAAGTTGGAATGTCATTCAAAATTAGATGAATATTCCTCCACACAATCAAGTGTAACAACCTCACTATTCAAATTCAGTGCATCAGCACTATGGATGCCTACAGATTATTCTGGTATAAGCTGCTGATTACAAAGTTTATACTAACGTAATTGAATGCTACGTTTTCTGCTGTAGTAACTAAGGTAGAAAGAAAGTTGGGATCATGAGTCAATCGAAGTTAGACCAACATGGAAAACCTGGAAGGCCGTTTCGTCCTTTTGTGAAGGAGTCCCACGATAGGACGTAACGGCTGTCCAGTGCTTCCAGATCTTCCATGGTGGTCTAGCTTCGATTGACTCGTTATCTCAACTATTGAAATTACTACAATCTCAACAAAACCCCTTCTGATGGTAGAAAGAAAGCTTTAAAAAATCGACTTGTCGCACTAAGTTGATGTGATGTCACTTGCGTACTGAAATAGTAATAGTGTGATTCGTTTACCAAGTACAGGTGTATTTACTGTGTTGTGAAACACATTGTTCATGTAATGGGTAGTGATATTTACCGACTAGTTTAAACGTGATGGGTTCGCCAAATGAACCATAACTCATTCGGTATGTAGTTCACATAAATTCAGAGCTTCCTCAAGAAGATTTACGACTGTTTGGTACAGAACTGTCAAACTTATCTATTATGTAATCGGTTGACAGCGTTTATGCTTTATACTTTTCCATCTGACAATTTATTTGAGGTTATTTTTCTCAATATTCGGTTACCAAAACATTTTGACAAATTCTTGATATACTTTCTGGAATTAAGTATGCACATTTTGATAATCAATAATTGTTCCACTTATATCAATCCCCTTCAAGGTTGGACCAGCGGTCTTTGAAGGACGTTATGAAGATACAGTCGGGACATATTTATTCTTTGAAAATAACTCCACTCTTCCCATAGAAGGCGCTTCTCTAGCACCAGCGCGCAAAATGGACGACCAAACACCACAGCATACCACAAGCTATGTCGCTAAATCTTCCAAATCCCTTACATTTCAGCGCATTTTCCTAAAAGCAAAAGAAGGAAATCACTAGCTACTCCCGTTGGGAATGTTAAGTTTAGAGTAATCGAGTGTAATTTGCAGTATGAGGTTTTGTACTTGTTAAGACAAATATATTTTTAAATGAGCACCCAAAACCTTCTTAACAAAAACCATTCTCAGAGGTTTCTATAGTTACGTACTCCTGTTGCCCCTTCTGGAGAAGCATAGGCCGCCCCCAAATGGCCTGGTATGATTGAGAGTGGGGTAGGCCCACCCTCCATCTCGAAATGCTCTCACATGGACACGCGTATATAGCCTCTGCCAGGGAAGTCCTACTCACTGCCTTCTCGTGGTGGAGGTGTTGTTTATGACATCGAAAGGACGAAAATCAAATGTCCGACTCATTAACCGGGCTGGTGGACACGGAGAGTCTACATAAAGGGTAATGGAAAACCCCGATTCCAAGCCAATGGTGCACATGGGCTCCAGTATCCTGCGAGGACAAATGGTGTATGGACCAATCGTTGGTCACCGGCTACAATGGGACTGCATCTCCTCACGATGCTCCACTGCCTTGTGGATCAGACTTTTAGGTCGAAGGCTCCGGGTGTGACCCCCTAAAAAAACCACCCGCTTCGGTTTGGGCACCCAGGCGGTGTCACGGCCCTCACACAGATCGAATGATTCATGTGGCGTATATCTATTTGATGTTTCCTTGTATCAATGTTTATGTGTTTAAATAAGTAATAAATAGGCTACCCACTAGCACTCTCCACCTAACCCTGTCCTGGGAAACCCTTTCTAGTTGGTATTCATCCTTTTCACGTCTGCTTCTGATTCTTCACGTACTGTGTTCTTTGGTCTTCCTCGTTTCCGTTTTCGTTCAGGACTCCAAGTTAGCAGTTTGGTGATTTCCGTAATGTATGTCCTATCCACTCCCAACGTCTTTTCCTAATTTCCCCTTCAGATGGAAGCTAGTTAGTTCTCTCCTACAGTACCTGTTGTTCATGGTATGCAGTCATCAACGGACATTGAGTATCTTGCGTAGACAACTGTTCATAAGTACTTGTACATTTTTGATTACTGTAGTTCTCCACGTTTCAGCTCCGTTCAGTAGGAATGTCTTTACGTTCGTATTGAAGATTCTGACTTTAATATTGGTTGGCTGTTGTTTTGAGTTTTACATGTTCTCCAATTGTAGGAGTGCTGTCCTTGCTTTGCCAAACCTCGCCTTTACGTCTGTATCAGTTATTTTGAATTCGTCGAGTTTGTCAGTATGTCTAAGGAAGGCTGTATTAAATGTTTGTAATGCTGTTTTCCAGTTGTCCAATGGTCCTTTAGCTTCAGTTTCATCCTGGCAACCAACTGGTGGTGATCTAAAGCTATTTCAACTCTTCTGTTTCTCACGTCTTTCATTGTCCTTCTGAAGTTTTTATCGATACAAATATGACCTGTCTGATTCTCTATGGTGTGATCCAGTTGAACCCATGCAGCTTTTTGTATTCGTTTGTGGTGTAATATTGTGCCGCCTATAACCATTTTTTCGAATGCACACAAAGTTGCAAATCTGTCACCATTTTCGTTTCTCCCTCCTAGCCCATATCTTTATATCCAGTGTTGTCCATTCCGACTTTGGCGTTCAGGTCTCCCATCAGGATGGTGATATCCTTTCTTGGGCACACCGCTATGATTGATTTCCATAGGCAACATGTAATTTGTGTTCGAACGGTTTGATCTGTTACGTAAAACGTACTAGACAACCTAACTTTAATGATTTCTAGCGATAAAAAGTGGGTTCATGTAAATATTAGTTCAAAAGAGTACCAAAATACATGTGTGCCACACAATAAATCACTAAGTCTGTATGGGCTGGGATACTGCCCGAGTGCCTAGACCAAGTCAGGTGGTCCCCCCGTACCTTTGACCTATAGGTCTAATCCTCAGCAGAGCAACATTAGGATGCAGTCACATGTTGTCCGATAACCAATAGTAGGTCCACACCCCGTTCGTTCCCTTAGGATCCTAGGGCCCATGCGCACCATTGGTCCACCAACACCTTGATAGATTCTCCACACCCACTAACCCTGTTTAAGAGCTAGACATTCACCTTTTGCCTTCTCAATTTCGTAAACATCCCTGCCACGAGAAGGCAATAGCCATATGAGAGCATTTCGAATAGAACGGACCTTACCCACTCTCAGTCGTACCAATGTTTGGGGCGAATATTAAAGCATCGATCGTCTTAATTGAGGTTAGAATAAAACAAAATTAACATTTTATTCCGTTTTCCCAAAGTATGTTAATACAATGAGACCCTTCCATAATTAGTACAAATCACTAGTTATTTCATTGAGATACCTAAGGCAGTAGCAATTTTGTCTCCCCACATCTGAACTTCTAAGCGAGAACAATCATACATTCACTTCATTTAGAAGAGATTGAAGTCATTTACTCTTTAAATACCTTTCTTTTTGAACCAATCATCTAAGCGTAAAACGCTTCGAAGTCCACACTGATAACTAGATTAGAGAGTCAACTCTCTAATCGGATTTCGAATCTAACTAATTCAACAACTTCAAAAAACATGATTTAAGGGTTTGGATGTGCCGGAACATAACTGATACCTGGAAACTAGGACATATTCAGACCCTTCTTTGGACTTCTGAATTCCAGTGTAGAATATATGGCTCGTCGTTTGCACGATATAATCTTATTGTTGATGACAGCATCAAAATCTTGACTTTGTGAAATCCCTAGGATTAACTAGTCGCTTTTATGAACTGTTTCTATTCAGCATATACTTAAGTCCATCGCTGACATATTTCGGAATATAACTACACACTGAAGACCGGTGCTCCACTTATAGGCCTGGCCCGTCCTGACAATAGATTAAGTAATTAGACAATCACGCTCTACAAACACTAAAGTAGTTGATAAAGATATTATGACTGCAATTTGGCGGCAAGAATACAAACAGCGAACTCATTTAAGAAAATCTAATGTGAATGACTCATGGTGAAATACTATGATTTTCAATATTTCGTGGTGTGGGTGATGGGAAGAGTATTCTAACCCTTCAGTAACCGGAATCAAGCTCAGAGTTATAAGGAATTACATCACATTTATTTCAAAGAAAGCCTATAAGGTGAGAAATGTTTGGGAAAATCCTAACATCATAATAAATACGTATGTGCCACCTAGATTGAGCAAAAGCAAAAATGTATCATACATGATCACAAATATAAACAATTAAGTTAGTAAGTAGGTAAGCTAGACGAACATGAAGACTGATGGGAAGTAAATAAATAAACACTAACAAACAAGAACTGATAAAGTAAGTTGGTCAAAACGATACAGACAGTTTTCACAGCTGAGTGCAATATATTAGATGAATATGACAGGATCGAAAGCCCGTATGTTGGTGTCCATCAATTGGAAATAACAGCAAAATGCCGCAATAAACCGTCGGGTTGTTGCCGCATAAAACGAGATCACATTATTGCACATTTCACAAAATACTTTCCAAATGAGCTGCCACATTAAGTTCCTCTTCGAACATCCAAGTAGGTGGGATAACACTGAAAAAGAGTTCGGACATGAAACAAGTGGTTTGAGACCATACGGAGAAATGCAGGAGAAACAAAAATGTAGTGCTTCTGTTGAGAGGGTTTTTCAAGTTTGAAGAAACATTCGACCGCATTTTTGAGGAGCAGTTGTATGTGAATAAGAGAATGGTAACTAGGAGTTATTCATGAACTATTATAACATATAATCTTACAGGATTATTAGGCAAATAGTTCATACATATTCATATTCTTTTTGTCATAAGCCTTCGTTTGACCTATTAGCTGTTATGCGATTTACCACTCTTAATATATTCCGAATCTATTAGTTACAGTCTACTGTATTGATCTTGTATAATTTTTTTTAAATTTTATGATGCGATACGGTCAGGAATGCTTGTATATAAACCACGCATGTCTGAAATGTACGATTCATACGGCGGATACCGACATTTGTGCTATGAATCAAACGGGCGGGACTAGGTGAGAAGCTACTATACAGAGGACCGATAGGGACTCGGAATTGACTCTAGGCTGCTCGTGTTGGTTAACGCACCATTGGTTTAGCACAGGGATAAGGTCACGAGATATTTGGCAGGCCATAGGACATAACTATTAAATAATTTGATTAGTGTTTTTTTTATGATCCCCTTACTGCGAACTTCCACTAAACCTATTAACCACTGTTATACGCTTTATTACGTCTCAATTATTGTTCATTATGTACCGTTTGCTCAATACCCTGTAACATATAGCCTGATTGTTTTTAAAAGTATAATTTCTTATTTGGTGCGCGATGCGGCCTAATAATTCCTGTATTGTAAACTAATACGTGTTTGAATTAAAAAGATTAGGAGCCTGATATACATAGAAGCTTGGCTTCTGTCTTTTAATTTATCGTACAGGAAACTGGGATGTCAGAAAGGCGTACGTTCTGGACCAATGAGAGTTAAGATTTTCCCGGCTTTAGCTTAAGATTACTCCCTTCAGTCAGAACGTATCATTGGTCAAGACGTAGGATGTCAGTCCATAAAGAAACATTATGGGATTCTTATTGATAAATCTTATCAAACGATATTGACTAACTTTCACCTTCATAAGATTTTTAACTGGCCTGTCGCTCTATCAACACTGATCAAAGTATCCTCTCAGTAGTTTAACAAGAATAAATAAGTCTAGTAATTATGCCGCTCTTATAACAATTAGTCATGGGTGACTGAAAAGCTGATTTACAAAATATCCAATCAAATAACAAAAACATGAGCTACAGAAGAGTCCAAGTTGGGATTGATTCTACTGTCACAACTATAAACCAGAAAAAATTTATTGATTCATATTCACTACAAACTAACATACCATTGAACACCTGAAGGTACATTATGTTATGGATTTATGTAAATTATTAAGTTCAAATTATGTCAAAGCTTATAATTAATGAAAAAATTTATAAATAAACTTATGAAAAAATTTTTTTTACCTATGTCCAGAC